TAATACACTCACCACTAGTACACTCAGCACCACTAATACACTCACCACTATTACACTCACCACCACTACACTCACCACTAGTACACTCACCACTTGTACACTCACCACTAGTACACTCATCACTAGTACACTCATCACCACTACACTCACCACTAGTACACTCATCACCACTACACTCACCACTAGTACACTGACCACTACACTCACCACTAGTACACTCATTTACCACTACACTCACCACTAGTACACTCATCACCACTACACTAATCACCAGTACACTCATCACCACTACACTCACCACTAGTACACTCACCACTAGTACACTCATCACCACTACACTCACCACTAGTACACTCACCACTAGTACACTCACCACTACACTCACCACCACTACACTCACCACTAGTACACTCACCACTAGTACACTCACCACTAGTACACTCATCACCACTACACTCATCACCACTACACTCACCACTACACTCACCACTAGTACACTCACCACTAGTACACTCACCACTAGTACACTCACCACCACTAAACTCACCACTAGTACACTCATCATCACTACACTCACCACTACACTCACCACTAGTACACTCACCACTAGTACACTCACCACTACACTCACCACTACACTCACCACCACTACACTCACCACCACTACACTCACCACTAGTACACTCACCACTAGTACACTCACCACTAGTACACTCATCACCACTACTACACTCACCACTAGTACACTCACCACTAGTACACTCATCACCACTACACTCACCACTAGTACACTCACCACTAGTACACTGACCACTAGTACACTCATCACCACTACCTGACATACTCAATATTTCCCCGCACAAGAACAGGGGGTGAACACCGATGGGTTGACAGCTATTACACGCGAGCCAGAGGGGTCGTGGCAAACCGGTTCGATTCCCCGTCGCGGCAGTTAAAATAATATACAGGTGTCCCACTGAAATCGCCCCATCCCCATCCCCTCCCTCCTTCCCTCCCCCATCTCCGTCCACCCAGCAGTACCTCCGATTAGCACGCTCGGCGACGTACGGCGCGAAAGAAGTTCGACATACGGTCCATACATGGATGTGGACAGCACACCCCGGTTTTGCGTGTGGGTGTCTGCGGGGTCAAGTGTGGGTCGCCGCACCCCGCCTCCCCACGTGCCAAGGGTCGACCAGAATACCCTCCGAGAGGGCACTCTTGGCAGCTCCGGCCAGCGGCGGTTAATTACCGCCGGGAGAGCGGCGTAAGAACAAAGCCGTTGCATGGACTGCGCCTTTACCATAGCGGCATCGTATTCAACGGCATCATCTGAACAGCGTCCTGCTAGAAATCATCGCAGCAACGCTCATGACTGCTGCACCACCATCGTCGTCATCATCATCATCGTCGTCGTAGTCGTCATTAACGTTATTGTCAACATCGTCGTCGTTTCTCATCACAGGGGCCGTACGTGAATGACGTCACGCGCCTAGGGGGTGGGGGGGGGGTCAGACATTTGTGACGATGTGTGACGAGGGGGGGAGGGAGGGGGGGTTGAGAAATGTGACGTCACATCAAAATGCGCAACTTTAAATAAATATAGACAACACGTTCTACTTAATTAAATAGACTTTTTAAAATAAATATTTCTCCTACAACATCAGAGTGCAGCGCCACATTAAATACACGCTACAGTGACAATAGTTTAAAGCGATTTGAAGCATGTTTTATATATTTTTTTTGGGGGGGGGGGGCAGAGCTTTGTGACGTCATCTTTGAGGGGGGGGGGGTCTGACTTTTTGTGACGCTGTGTGACGAGGGGGGAGGAGGAGGGGGAGGGGTCAAAAATCGTCCAAAATCGCCCCACAGGCGCTCGCTAACTTCCCGTAGCACGGTCGGCTATGTACGGTGCTAAAAAAGTTCAACGTGCACACGTGGGTAACAACACTTGTCCACCTTCCCTCCATCAGACCCAATGCTAAGACTACACAGGGGATCTTTGTTGTGTTGTTGTTGTTGATTGCTGTGCAACATTGCATTGGCTGCGTCGGGTGGTGGAGGGCGCACGACACACGTTTTTACTTTGACTTAGGGGCCGTGCACACATGACGTCACGCGATTTTGGACGATTTTTTTACTTTTTGACCCCCCCCCCCCCTCCTCGTCACACGGCGTCACAAAAAGTCAGACCCCCCCCCCCTCAAATATGACGTCACAAAGCTCTGCCCCCCCCCCCGCCCAAAAAAAATATAAAGCATGCTTCAAATCGCTTTAAACTATTGTCATTGTAGTGCGTATTTAATGTGGCGCTGCACTCTGACGTTGCAGGAGAAAACATTTATTAAAAAAGTCTATTTAATTAAGTAGAACGTGTTGTCTATATTTATTTAAAGTTGCGCATTTTGATGTGACGTCACATTTCTCAAACTCCCCCCCCTCCCCCCCTCGTCACACATCGTCACAAATGTCTGACCACACCCCCCCCCCCCCCTCCTAGGTGCGTGACGTCATTTATGGACGGCCCCTAATACAATACTTAACCACAGACACGTGGCAAAGCAGCCACGTGGTGGGTCGGCGTCAGACAATTGCCCGAGGTGTTGTCGGCCAATTATATTTTGGCGTTCAACGTGTGGGAGAAAGCCGGAGCTCCGACAAGTGGAACAGACGGAGTCAATATTTCGATTTGAAGCTTTCGTGACTGCAAGGATTCATCTTCTTTGGTTCTTTCGGTAAAGTCACGTAGAATGAGAATAAAACAATAAAATAACACAATAAAATTCTCACGACCTTTCGGCTTCAATGAAGCTCTGTCGTCCTGACACTTCTGTACCTTTCACCTGAAGACGGCCGCTTGCGTTGTGGCCGAAACGTCGTGAGAATTTTATTGTGTTATTTTATTATTTTATTATCACTCTACGTGGTGACTTTACCGAGAGAACCAAAGAAGAGGGAGTCAATATTGTTGCTGAGCACGTCGCTCAGAGGCGGCGGCACCACGGAGCACCGGGGCTGTATCTCTGGCCATTGTTATTACAACGCTTTCTTTTGTAGAGGCGTTAACTACGCGCTGTTGCGTAACCTGCATTGCCACCAGGGCAGTGCAGCATTACCCCTGGGTACAACGGTTGGGGTCAGTCGAGGTGAAACGGATCGTGGCCAGGGGTTTGGTGCGAACCAATCAGACGGTTCCACGTGGGAATGTGTGATTGGTTCTGCCTGGCCACGAAGGGGTATAAGACAGGTGACCCAACGGACCTCGTGGGAGTTCTCTCCCTGCACGAAGATAGAAGACTGGGCTGAAGCCTAGCTAGGACCCTGGACCCAGCCTTTCAGCCCTTCTAAGGGCTAAGGCTCGGCATACCCAGTGGTCAGGACCCACCGGGCCAGCGGTGGGTCAGATAGCCTTCCCTAGGTCCTAGCCGGAGGACTAGGATAGCGGTAGACGTGTGAGTCCCGCCAGGTCCGGAGGCTGTACCTCCCTAGGGTATCGGGTGAGGGGACCGAATATCCCTCTGTGTGTGTTAAGCGTTGTATAAGGAAATAATACAATAAACAGTGTGCCTCCTAAAGAAGTCTGCTCGTCCTTACAATACTACACTTTTAACTCAATCTGTCTGTTGTTGTTGTCGTTGTTGTCGTTGTATTCTCAAATCTTGTAACGCGATTTTAACCCACTTCCCAATGTGGTATCGACTGCAAACTTGGGTATACTTATGCCATGCTGGTGACAATACTATATTCTATCATAAAAATTAAAAAAGAAGTATTTTTAAACCATCTTTTTTTACATGTTATGTTTCGGCTTGGGTCTAATTGTCCACTGCTTCCCTGACGTTGGCTGTAAATCACCACGGTCCCTTACGTCGTGCCAAGCTTCGGGGCCACTTCCTGGAGTCGTGGAATTCTGCCATTGCGAGTTCGGTACATTTAATTAAAGCGTGTTTTTTATTAAGTATTTTTTTAAATATTACTTTTCATGTCATGTTCATGCTTGTGTCTCAGCTCATGTTCGTGTCTTTGGTCATGTTCATGTCTCAGCTCATGTTCATGTCTCTGGTCATGTTCGTGTCTCTGGTCATGTCTCTGGTCATGTTCGTGTCTTTGGTCATGTTCGTGTCTCTGGTCATGTTCGTGTCTCTGGTCATGTTCGTGTCTTTGGTCATGTCTCTGGTCATGTTCGTGTCTTTGGTCATGTCTCTGGTCATGTTCGTGTCTCTGGTCATGTCTCTGGTCATGTTCGTGTCTTTGGTCGTGTCTTTGGTCATGTTCGTGTCTTTGGTCATGTTCGTGTCTTTGGTCATGTTCGTGTCTTTGGTCATGTTCGTGTCTCTGGTCATGTCTCTGGTCATGTTCGTGTCTCTGGTCATGTTCGTGTCTTTGGTCGTGTCTTTGGTCATGTTCGTGTCTTTGGTCATGTTCGTGTCTTTGGTCATGTTCGTGTCTTTGGTCATGTTCGTGTCTCTGGTCATGTCTCTGGTCATGTTCGTGTCTCTGGTCATGTCTCTGGTCATGTTCGTGTCTTTGGTCATGTTCGTGTCTTTGGTCATGTTCGTGTCTCTGGTCATGTTCGTGTCTCTGGTCATGTCTCTGGTCATGTTCGTGTCTCTGGTCATGTTCGTGTCTCTGGTCATGTTCGTGTCTTTGGTCGTGTCTCTGGTCATGTCTCTGGTCATGTTCGTGTCTTTGGTCATGTTCGTGTCTTTGGTCATGTTCGTGTCTTTGGTCATGTTCGTGTCTCTGGTCATGTTCGTGTCTTTGGTCGTGTCTCTGGTCATGTCTCTGGTCATGTTCGTGTCTTTGGTCATGTCTCTGGTCATGTTCGTGTCTCTGGTCATGTTCGTGTCTTTGGTCATGTCTCTGGTCATGTTCGTGTCTTTGGTCATGTCTCTGGTCATGTTCGTGTCCCTGATCACGTTCACGCTCCCGTCTCCGGCCACGTCCCCCTCCACGTCCCTATCACCTGCCCGCGTGTCTGCCCCCTCTGCCCTCGACAGGAGTTAGCTCTGCTCCGCGCGCACCAGCTGATAGAGGCGACGCGCAACGTGGCGGAGAAGCTGTGCCCGGCTCACTCTCGAGTCCTCGACTTCTTCTGCGAGCGCGAGCAGCGGCCCCTGTGTCACGAGTGCTCCCTGAGCACCGAGCACCGGATGCACCGGCACACGGCGCTGGAGGAGGCGTGCAGGGCCAAGCGGGTGAGCGGGCATCCACCGGCTCACCGACTCTGAAACGCTCGACGTATACACTCACCGACCGTGACACGCTCACCCAAAAACTCCGATATGCTCACCGTACGCTCACCGACTCTGACGGACTCACCCGCTCTGATGCACTCACCAATCCGGAACACGCACCGACTCTGATTCAATCACCATACACTCATCGGCTCCGAGAGGCTCACCGGCTCCGATACACTTATCATTGGTTCACCGACTCTGGTACGCTCACCAACTCCGATGCACTCAGCAACTCCGAGAGGCTCACCGAGCGCCCACCAGCTTCTATACGCTTACTGTACACTACTAACTGCTATACACTCACCAAATCCTTTGCACTCATACGCACGTGATGGCAGCAGTATGTTGTGGAGCTGAATTCTGAATTCTAATGTCGAAGGCTTTTAGCTACGGGGAGAGGGCTTCAGGAGTTCGAGTTCGTGCACTATTTCTGTTCCTCTTCCATTGAAGGAGCACAGGCTGCAGTGATAATACATGTTTTTTAAAAAATTAGAAATCGCGTAGATATAAATGCGTCATTAAACCCACCACCACCCGACACAGCCGATTTGTAAGGTTTGTCACGTGAACAGAACATGCCAATTCGTTACTAGTACAGCACACTGCTGTGTTGGAGAGTAAATCCGCAACATTTGCAATCTGAGTACGATGTTCCGCCAGTAATTACAACCGGCATCATCAGGCGACAGCCAAATCTGTCTGTCGCCTGATGCTAATTCATACTCAAATTGTAAATGTTGTGGGTTAACTCTCCAACACACAGATGTGCTGTACTAGTGTAGTGGCATAGAATCAGTAATGTAGCAGCATAGCGCTGGCTGCTGGCGGGGAAGGGGATCTGCGGCTTTCAGCAGCCCTGACGTCAGCAGGCCACGTGATACACCAGAGGGCGATCTAGGGGAAAGGTCACAGAAGGGGCACACCAAAAACCCGCTGGTAGGTTCTAGAAAGGGGGCGTGGCCGGGGGCGGAGCCAGGCCACGCTGACAGTATAAGAAGGGCCCCTGTAGGGGACCTCGGGGCTGTCGACTGTAAGTGGGGATCCCCGTCGTGCCGCTCAAGTCCATCGTCGTCATCATCATCATTCTTCTCTTGGTCGCTTGATATTGCGCTGTTATATAGTCGTTGGCTGTATCGGTCAGCGCCATTGGTGTTAAGACGGCTACTGTTGCGTATTTAGGCTAGGGTGTGTGTAGCCTAGGCGACTGTAGGGGTGTGTGAAGGGAGATTGTGAGTATAATAAAATAAGTGCCTCCAAGAATTACTGCCTCCGAGTTGAACCACTACACTAGTAACGAATTGGCCCGTTTTGTGTACGTGACAAGCCTTACTATTTGGCTGTGGCGGGTTTAACGACACGTTTATATTCACATGATCTAACCCCCCCCCCCCAAAAAAAAAAACGAAAGAACCAAAGAGTATTATGAATGATATTGGTCGCGAAAGCCTACGTGGTAAACAGGCTGCAGTGGGCTTACAATGCAGTCCTTAGTTTGGGTTGCATGGCCACACTCGCACGACTGTGGCTTGTCTTTAATTTTCCATTCATGAAGGAGATGTGTGCATTGGCCTGTTGATGGCATTCTGATGCGGTTGACGGTTATGTTGTGACATCGCGGGATGTCACCGTGTAATGCCGGACCTAGCGAGGCACGGCGTGCGGTGTAGCGACATCGCGGGCACCACGTGGATGTGGGTCCAGTACCGGCCCTAGAGGGGCTCGGTGAGCGCTGACTGACAGCGCCGAGTGGCACCCACGCTCGGCGTGCAGTGCCGGCCCCTACAGGATAGGGTGCGGGAGTGCCGGCCATGGAAACAGGGTTACTAAAGGCCGTGGCACTCTGGTTGACAGTCATAGGCAGAGAGGAATTGCGCAGATGGAGGGATGACACCCCGCACCGTTCACACACGTGGGGAGAGAACGAGAACTGTGAACCCAAGTCCAAGTTTGAGCACACTCTTTGCCAGTGTAATGTCAGAGTGTTTTGAGGCGCACACTCAAACCCGTGTCTTTTCTAAGAGTGGACTGCTCGCTCGTTCAACTTACACCGACGACCCGTCCAATATGTCCACCCGTGTACAACTTGGAGTAGCCCGCACGAAACCCAGATTTGAACGCAAAATCTCAGTGGTGGCAGCTCACTGCTCTGCACCCAGAACCAACCAGGCACCTAAACCCTTCAGGCTTTAAACATCACGCCGCTCATTGAGCATCTCGGCTCCCAAGTTTCAGGCTCGTAGGTTCGAGTCCGTGTCCTGTGCGCCGTGTGGATTCAGGTGCTCGTGGAGGCAAGGGTGAGACTGGTGGACAATACGTCTGGTCTCCTGCAGCAGGAGACAGCCACGCTGAGCGAGGACCACACAAACATTGTGGTATGGAAGCCCTCCAAGCTTGCGACTCGTGGGCCTGTCTGTCTCCTCACCATGGCCCCAGTGCCATGTCATCTCTCAATACGGTTTCATCCTTTGGGACGAGAATGATGGAGGTGATGATGATGATTTTGGTTGTGTGAATGTTGGTAGTGTGGGGGATCGTGATTGTGATGGTGTAGATCAGTGGTTCTTAAAGTGTGGTCCCCTGGATCACCAGTGATCCGTGACGGACCTCCAGGCTGTCCACGACGCTGCGATGCAAATGCAGGTTGACACGGCAATAGTGACAATTCCTGTACCTCTTCTTTGGTTCTTTCGGTAAAGTCACGTAGAATGAGAATAAAATAATAAATTGATAAAATAAAATAACACAATAATATTCTCACGACGTTTCGGCCACAACACAAGCGGCCTTCATCAGGTGAAGGGAGCGAGACTGTCTGGTAGGACAGCGCTGGAGTGAGAGAGCCACGTTCAGATCACGGCTTTTAAGCTGTGTGAGAGGAACAAAGAGCCTTGACGAAGGAATTAGCATAAAATTTAGCATTGAAAAGGCTGAATGATTAGCTTGTGACTGGTCACAGAAATAGCTATGTTAAAAGTTAAAGCATACACATCCGCAGAGGCACCCATTGTTAAAAGGAATTAGCATAGAATTTAGCATTGAAATAGCTAAATTAAGGCATTCGCTTGTAACTGCTACAGAAATAGTTACGTTGAAGTCAGAGCATACACATTCACCGAGGCACTTAGTACAAATCAAAACAGGAGAATTTAGCATTGAAATAACTAGGCGAATTTAGCATTGAAATAACTGGGTGATTTGCTGGTGACTGGTCACAGAATACTATATACTATATAGTGAACCAATAAAAACTAAAATATAAATTACCTTCATGTTATCAATAAACTCTATATTCTCCAATCAGCTAAGCTACCAACCATAAGTCGTTATATATCACAATGCTATATGGCGAAAAAATGGGTGGATTCTTACCCTCAAATTTCCGTACCACGGATAGCTACGGGCCCCGTTCAGACGGACGAGTTCGTCCATGGTCGGAACAGAGGAGGGGGAGAGAGACAGCTGCGAAGCCCTAGTATACTCCATGTTGTAAACCATACCATTAACCGTGGTGTGAGAGGTATTAAGAGGCAATGCTGGCGAAAGAGCTGCGGTCTGAAGGTCATCGTAAAATTACAATTAATTAAGAACAGAAATGATTTAACACATCTTTCCAGTGGTTACTGAGCCTGAATCCATCTTCTCGGTTGAAATTGTCTCTGTGCTTGTATATGTGAATGGCCTCATGAACGAATCTCTCATGGTAGCCAGTTGGTTTGCAAAGAACCTCCGTCTTGGAGAAGTCAATGTCATGTGAGCCCACTGAATTGTAACAGTGATCTGCCACGGCAGAGGAGTTCGTCTTACCGTGTTTCAAGTCTGCTTTATGTTCGCGGATGCGGTCCGAGATATGTCTTTTGGTTTCTCCAATGTAGCTACTACCACAGAGGCACTTTAGTTTGTAAACGCCCGGGTACTGTATGTCTGGAAGAGCATCTTTTACAGATGGAACTAAATCACGGATTTTGTGTACTGTGTTGAATCGGACCTGGATCTTGTGTTTATTCAGGATTTTGGAGATCTTTTTAGTGACCCCTGCAATGTAGGGTAAGGTGATGGTTTTGAGTGGCTCCACAAGAGGATCCTTCTTCATGACTGGAGTGATGGCTTTGCGGATTGTGTAGTCGGAGTAGCCATTAGCCCTGAGAGCCTGGTGTACGTGCTTGAGTTCACTGGTAATGTGTTCCTGGTCGGAAATGCATTGGGCTCTATGGTATAGAGTCTTGATGAGGCAGTTCTTCTGGGATGGATGGTGGTGGGAATCCGGTTTCAAGTAAGCATCTGTATGGGTAGCTTTCCTGTAGACAGAGTGGCTCATTGAACCATCATGTCTCCTTTTAATTAAGACATCCAGAAAGGGTAGTTTGCCATCTTTTTCGACCTCCATGGTAAATCTGATGGCTGGGTGTATGGAATTGATGTGGTCGCGGAATTGGTCTAGAGCAGGCTGGCCATGTGGCCAGATGACAAAGGTGTCATCAACGTACCTCTTCCATAAGGTCGGGCGTAGAGTGGCAGTCTGGATGGCGTCAGTTTCAAATTTTTCCATGAATACGTTGGCTACAACCGGAGATAGGGGGGAGCCCATTGGGGTGCCCTCAGTTTGTTTGTAGAAAGTTCCATTCCAGGTGAAGTATGTGTTGGTTAAGCAATGTCTCACCAGGGGGGGTACATCAGTATGCAGTCCTTGATGAACCAGGTCTTCAATGATAGCGATGGTGTCAGGTACCGGGACTTTGGTGAACAAGGACACCACATCAAAACTGACAAGCAGGTCGTTTGGGGACAGGGAAATGTCTTTGATTGTCGATACCAGGTGAGTAGAATTTAGTACCGCAGAGGTGGTTTTTCCAGTGAAAGGTCGCAGTATATCAGCCAGAAAACGTGCCAGTTTGTAGGTGGGGGAGCTGATAGTAGAGACGATGGGACGAAGGGGTGTATCTTCTTTGTGTATCTTTGGAAGGCCATATAATCTTGGTGGTCTGGCAGCAGAGGGTTTCAACAAGAACTGTTTGTTCTCATCAATTAATGCTGTTGAATCAGAGATAATTTTGTTCGTTTTGGTGACCAGGCTGTTGGTGGGATCTCTTTTTATTTTTGTATAGCTGCCATCGTTGAGTAGTTCTTGAATTTTGTTGTTATATTCTGTTTTGTCCATGATGACAGTGGCATTGCCTTTGTCGGCTGAGAGAACGACAATATCATCCCTCTTTTTTAATTGAGATAATTCAAAACGTTCGTCTTTGCTGATGTTGCTAGGTGGCAACTTAGCGTTTTTGAGGGTTGCAGCGATTTCAGATCTTGCTACGTCTGCAGAGATGTGACTCAAGCCCTTGAGTGCAACGTCGACATGGGCAATGATATCATTAACCGGTAAGTGTCTCGGTGTGACAGCAAAGTTTAGACCTTTAGCTAAAACGGATTTCAGACCATCAGAAATGGAACTGTTACTGCGATTAATTACGACTTTGTTGACGTCTATCTTTTCGGTGTGTGGATCCGATTTTTTGCTGGAGAGGTGATTGAATTTGGAAATCAAATTGTCCCTACATTTGTTCGACATAGTGGCAGCCGAAGAGGTAGTCATATTGTCTACATGTTCCCAATCCGATGTAGACATTGTTGCTGTCAATTTTAAGTGTGATTTGTAGAGTGTCTTGTCTAACTGATCGAGTTCGGTGCGTGTAAGTCTGATTTTTTCCGAGATAAGAGCGAAGCTAGTTCTAGCTAGAATTCGTTTTGCATTGAGAGAAGTTGCAACAGCAGAGGTTAGTGTAAATGCGGTTGGTATTACCTTAGAGTCGCGGCATCTCTTCAGAAAGGTGAGAGACTCGATTAGTTGAGCCTTCTTATCCCGAAGTCTGTTGAATGATCTTAAGGATGTGTGGAATCCCTCCCCGTAGAGGCGGTTAAATTTCGATTTAAAGCTTTCGTGACTGCAATGATTCATCTTCTTTGGTTCTTTCGGTAAAGTCACGTAGAATGAGAATAAAATAATAAATTGATAAAATAAAATAACACAATAATATTCTCACGACGTTTCGGCCACAACACAAGCGGCCTTCATCAGGTGAAGGGAGCGAGACTGTCTGGTAGGACAGCGCTGGAGTGAGAGAGCCACGTTCAGATCACGGCTTTTAAGCTGTGTGAGAAGAACAAAGAGCCTTGACGAAGGAATTAGCATAAAATTTAGCATTGAAAAGGCTGAATGATTAGCTTGTGACTGGTCACAGAAATAGCTATGTTAAAAGTTAAAGCATACACATCCGCAGAGGCACCCATTGTTAAAAGGAATTAGCATAGAATTTAGCATTGAAATAGCTAAATTAAGGCATTCGCTTGTAACTGCTACAGAAATAGTTACGTTGAAGTCAGAGCATACACATTCACCGAGGCACTTAGTACAAATCAAAACAGGAGAATTTAGCATTGAAATAACTAGGCGAATTTAGCATTGAAATAACTGGGTGATTTGCTGGTGACTGGTCACAGAATACTATATACTATATAGTGAACCAATAAAAACTAAAATATAAATTACCTTCATGTTATCAATAAACTCTATATTCTCCAATCAGCTAAGCTACCAACCATAAGTCGTTATATATCACAATGCTATATGGCGAAAAAATGGGTGGATTCTTACCCTCAAATTTCCGTACCACGGATAGCTACGGGCCCCGTTCAGACGGACGAGTTCGTCCATGGTCGGAACAGAGGAGGGGGAGAGAGACAGCTGCGAAGCCCTAGTATACTCCATGTTGTAAACCATACCATTAACCGTGGTGTGAGAGGTATTAAGAGGCAATGCTGGCGAAAGAGCTGCGGTCTGAAGGTCATCGTAAAATTACAATTAATTAAGAACAGAAATGATTTAACACATCTTTCCAGTGGTTACTAAGCCTGAATCCATCTTCTCGGTTGAAATTGTCTCTGTGCTTGTATATGTGAATGGCCTCATGAACGAATCTCTCATGGTAGCCAGTTGGTTTGCAAAGAACCTCCGTCTTGGAGAAGTCAATGTCATGTGAGCCCACTGAATTGTAACAGTGATCTGCCACGGCAGAGGAGTTCGTCTTACCGTGTTTCAAGTCTGCTTTATGTTCGCGGATGCGGTCCGAGATATGTCTTTTGGTTTCTCCAATGTAGCTACTACCACAGAGGCACTTTAGTTTGTAAACGCCCGGGTACTGTATGTCTGGAAGAGCATCTTTTACAGATGGAACTAAATCACGGATTTTGTGTACTGTGTTGAATCGGACCTGGATCTTGTGTTTATTCAGGATTTTGGAGATCTTTTTAGTGACCCCTGCAATGTAGGGTAAGGTGATGGTTTTGAGTGGCTCCACAAGAGGATCCTTCTTCATGACTGGAGTGATGGCTTTGCGGATTGTGTAGTCGGAGTAGCCATTAGCCCTGAGAGCCTGGTGTACGTGCTTGAGTTCACTGGTAATGTGTTCCTGGTCGGAAATGCATTGGGCTCTATGGTATAGAGTCTTGATGAGGCAGTTCTTCTGGGATGGATGGTGGTGGGAATCCGGTTTCAAGTAAGCATCTGTATGGGTAGCTTTCCTGTAGACAGAGTGGCTCATTGAACCATCATGTCTCCTTTTAATTAAGACATCCAGAAAGGGTAGTTTGCCATCTTTTTCGACCTCCATGGTAAATCTGATGGCTGGGTGTATGGAATTGATGTGGTCGCGGAATTGGTCTAGAGCAGGCTGGCCATGTGGCCAGATGACAAAGGTGTCATCAACGTACCTCTTCCATAAGGTCGGGCGTAGAGTGGCAGTCTGGATGGCGTCAGTTTCAAATTTTTCCATGAATACGTTGGCTACAACCGGAGATAGGGGGGAGCCCATTGGGGTGCCCTCAGTTTGTTTGTAGAAAGTTCCATTCCAGGTGAAGTATGTGTTGGTTAAGCAATGTCTCACCAGGGGGGGTACATCAGTATGCAGTCCTTGATGAACCAGGTCTTCAATGATAGCGATGGTGTCAGGTACCGGGACTTTGGTGAACAAGGACACCACATCAAAACTGACAAGCAGGTCGTTTGGGGACAGGGAAATGTCTTTGATTGTCGATACCAGGTGAGTAGAATTTAGTACCGCAGAGGTGGTTTTTCCAGTGAAAGGTCGCAGTATATCAGCCAGAAAAACGTGCCAGTTTGTAGGTGGGGGAGCTGATAGTAGAGACGATGGGACGAAGGGGTGTATCTTCTTTGTGTATCTTTGGAAGGCCATATAATCTTGGTGGTCTGGCAGCAGAGGGTTTCAACAAGAACTGTTTGTTCTCATCAATTAATGCTGTTGAAGCGTTTACAAACTAAAGTGCCTCTGTGGCAGTAGCTACATTGGAGAAACCAAAAGACATATCTCGGACCGCATCCGCGAACATAAAGCAGACTTGAAACACGGTAAGACGAACTCCTCTGCCGTGGCAGATCACTGTTACAATTCAGTGGGCTCACATGACATTGACTTCTCCAAGACGGAGGTTCTTTGCAAACCAACTGGCTACCATGAGAGATTCGTTCATGAGGCCATTCACATATACAAGCACAGAGACAATTTCAACCGAGAAGATGGATTCAGGCTTAGTAACCACTGGAAAGATGTGTTAAATCATTTCTGTTCTTAATTAATTGTAATTTTACGATGACCTTCAGACCGCAGCTCTTTCGCCAGCATTGCCTCTTAATACCTCTCACACCACGGTTAATGGTATGGTTTACAACATGGAGTATACTAGGGCTTCGCAGCTGTCTCTCTCCCCCTCCTCTGTTCCGACCATGGACGAACTCGTCCGTCTGAACGGGGCCCGTAGCTATCCGTGGTACGGAAATTTGAGGGTAAGAATCCACCCATTTTTTCGCCATATAGCATTGTGATATATAACGACTTATGGTTGGTAGCTTAGCTGATTGGAGAATATAGAGTTTATTGATAACATGAAGGTAATTTATATTTTAGTTTTTATTGGTTCACTATATAGTATATAGTATTCTGTGACCAGTCACCAGCAAATCACCCAGTTATTTCAATGCTAAATTCGCCTAGTTATTTCAATGCTAAATTCTCCTGTTTTGATTTGTACTAAGTGCCTCGGTGAATGTGTATGCTCTGACTTCAACGTAACTATTTCTGTAGCAGTTACAAGCGAATGCCTTAATTTAGCTATTTCAATGCTAAATTCTATGCTAATTCCTTTTAACAATGGGTGCCTCTGCGGATGTGTATGCTTTAACTTTTAACATAGCTATTTCTGTGACCAGTCACAAGCTAATCATTCAGCCTTTTCAATGCTAAATTTTATGCTAATTCCTTCGTCAAGGCTCTTTGTTCTTCTCACACAGCTTAAAAGCCGTGATCTGAACGTGGCTCTCTCACTCCAGCGCTGTCCTACCAGACAGTCTCGCTCCCTTCACCTGATGAAGGCCGCTTGTGTTGTGGCCGAAACGTCGTGAGAATATTATTGTGTTATTTTATTTTATCAATTTATTATTTTATTCTCATTCTACGTGACTTTACCGAAAGAACCAAAGAAGATGAATCATTGCAGTCACGAAAGCTTTAAATCGAAAAATTCCTGTACCTCTTTATTCAGACATTAATCTTTTACTTTGGATATTTAATTTAAAAAAAATCGAGTTTTGTAAACTACCCTGATTAAACTACCCCGACCCTAAGATCTAACCCCCCCCCCCTAAATAAAAACCTTATAGCTGGTTTAAAAAAAGAAAAGGGGGTGTGTTTCAGTTATATGAATAACTTAGTTTGACCGGTACTTTAAGAGGGAAATTGAATGTGTTTTGTCAGCAGGGGTGGGGGGCGGGGGGCTGGGTGGTCCACGGGGCAAAGAAGTTTGAGAAACAGCGGTGTAAAGTAAGATGGTTTTCGGTAATGTAGTTGATGTCGATTTGGAATGCAGATCTTCTCTGCGTTCCCAGGTTTGAGTCTTTTTTCGGTCGATGGGCGACCGAGCTTTTTCATACATAGCCCCCCAGACTCTGGCACTCTCTCACACGAGATGCCCAGTTTATTCAACTTTTATCTCGTTCAAATAAATGGCTTTAGCACTCATTTATATTATTTCATGAGTGTCTGCTGCTGTGTCTTGTGCAGTGCTTTGGATTTCTTGACGAAAGCCACTTTAAAGCCACTATTATTATTATTAGCTTGTGGTCTGGCGCAGCCACATTTCACGAAACGTTTTCAAATGTTTTTTTGCGTGCGTTTAGTTTTGCTGTAACCACCCCCCCCCTCTCCCCCCGGCACCTCCAATTTAGCACAGCTGGCTACGTACGGTGCGAAAGAAGTTCAACGTGCATACAAACGCCCAGATGCACTTTAACCCAGTGAAACCTACGAGCAGCCGACGCACTGTTTCCCCGCCGTGACCTCTTCACGTAGAACCTCTCGGAGCGTTGCTCATCTCAGCTGTCGAGGGCGTTTGAGGAGGCTCGGGCGAAGCTGTCTCGGCGAGAGGAGGAGGTGATGGAGGAGCTACGGAACGAGGCGCAGCGAGCGCTCTCCCCCATCGAGGTGTCCATGGAGGAGCACGTGTCGGGCATTGCGCGCCTCTCCAGCGTCAAGGACAGCCTCCAGGCCCTGCTCGCCTCGGAGGTGGACCCAGTCTCGTTCCTCAAGGCGAGTCGAGGGGCGTGCGCGTGAGGTCGCGTTGGGCTACAGGGCGGGCGCTCTGTGTTTATGTCACTGACGCAGGGGATTTAGGAAGTGGGGTTTTTTTTGTTTTGGGGGGGGGTGGGGGGTGGTATTGTTGTTGTTATTGTTGTTGTGTCTATGAATAGAGTACACAATGGCGTTCACGTTATACTTCTTGTATATACAAAGGGAGGGCCGTTAATTCCACACAAAAAAGCGACACGGTGAACGAAGCAAAGTGCTGATTCATCTCGTATTGTTTGTGCGATGTCCCCCTGTGTGTGATGTCCCTCTGTGTGTGATGTCTCTCTGTGTGTGATGTCTTTCTGTGTGTGTGATGTCTCTGTGTGTATGATGTCTCTCTGTGTGTGTGATGTCTCTCTGTGTGTGTGATGTCTCTCTGTGTGTGATGTCTCTCTCTGTGTGTGATGTCTCTCTGTGTGTGATGTCTCTCTGTGTGTGATGTCCCCCTGTGTGTGATGTCTCTCTGTGTGTGATGTCTCTCTGTGTGTGATGTCTCTCTGTGTGTGATGTCTCTCTGTGTGTGTGATGTCTCTCTGTGTGTGATGTCTCTCTCTGTGTGTGATGTCTCTCTGTGTGTGATGTCTCTCTGTGTGTGATGTCCCCCTGTGTGTGATGTCTCTCTGTGTGTGATGTCTCTCTGTGTGTGATGTCTCTCTGTGTGCGATGTCTCTCTGTGTGCGATGTCCCTCTGTGTGTGATGTCTCTCTGTGTGTGATGTCTCTCTGTGTGTGATGTCTCTCTGTGTGCGATGTCCCTCTGTGTGTGATGTCTCTCTCTGTGTGATGTCTCTCTGTGTGCGATGTCTCTCTGTGTGTGATGTCTCTCTGTGTGTGATGTCTCTCTGTGTGTGATGTCTCTCTGTGTGCGATGTCCCTCTGTGTGATGTCTCTCTGTGTGTGATGTCCCTCTGTGTGTGATGTCTCTCTGTGTGTGATGTCTCTCTGTGTGTGATGTCCCTCTGTGTGCGATGTCTCACTGTGTGTGATGTCTCTGTGTGTGTGTGATGTCTCTCTGTGTGTGATGTCTCTCTCTGTGTGTGATGTCTCTGTGTGTGTGATGTCTCTCTGTGTGCGATGTCCCTCTGTGTGTGATGTCTCTCTGTGTGTGATGTCTCTCTGTGTGTGTGATATCTCACTGTGTGTGATGTCTCTCTGTGTGCGATGTCCCTCTGTGTGCGATGTCACTCTGTGTGTGATGTCCCTCTGTGTGCGATGTCCCTCTGTGTGTGATGTCCCTCTGTGTGCGATGTCCCTCTGTGTGTGATGTCTCTCTGTGTGTGATGTCCCTCTGTGTGCGATGTCTCTCTGTTTTGTCCCATTTTCACCTGTGTTGCATTCGAAACGTCGTGATTTAAATTTTATTTTACATGTGATTTATTTAAATTTCATTTTATTTCTACGTACGTGACTTTGACCGAAAGAACCAATGAGTATGTTACAGACTAGTTGAGTGTATCGCTGTGATGTCTACTTCGTATTTGTGGATCAGGCATTACGTCGTCATATGTTGTATGATTTGTTCTGGATATCCACAGTCGCACACTGGAGTTTATTTTTTTTATTTTTCATATATGCCAATTGATTTGGTTACTCTGCAAACACCAGAGGAATGTTGAACAGCAAGCATATATTTCACAATGTTGTACGACGTTTCGCAAATAGATTACATCCAGCATCATCATCATCATCAGGTGCTAACAAGGCTCAGATCTCGAGAGCTGCTTTGCTGAAACGCCAAATCAATTGGCGCGTTTGCTCCCACGTGACACATTTATTTCAGTGGCTCTCTTGGGCGGTGGGGAGTTATAGTAAAAAAAATGACACTGTACCTAAACGATATAACCCAATAGAAAAAAAAACGTTATTCACGGGAACAAAATACAGAATTAAACGAATAGCCTCTCTGTACAGGGAATTAATGCACAAATTCGCCGAGAATTTATTAAATAAAAATTTCATGCATGGGTTTCCCTGTGCAACCTTTCATATTTCCCCTTCGTTAAGCCTGGTTCCCAGTCGCACTTTGATCTCTCTCCCCGTTACAAAGTCTCACCCTGGCTAGCTGGGACATGTTTTCACCAACTCAGTTAAATTGGCGCCTTCGCATCACACGATCTCCCCTGTTGAGGGCCAGATCAGGCCTGGCTTGCAACCCATGTTAGCCATAGCCATGGGGTCTATAGCGAAATGTGCTAACAACTGCTGTGCCACCACACTGAAAAATTCTGCAAGCAGACAATTGTGCCACGTGAATAGTGAGCGAGTGAACAAGAAGGGAGACACATCCCTGGAAGTACGGTGGGAGTCAGAAAGAGGAACAGATGAATTAGAGATCATGCTGCAGTTAATGACCTCATTCTAACTCATGGGCTTTCACAGGACACGTCGCTCAAAGAGGTTCACGGCCGGAGATCTAGAATAATGCGTGGAGATCTAGACTACTCTACGGGACGTCTGGCAAAAAAAAAACATTACCAAGCTGTAGCGTGTACAAAATATTTTGGCTACGTGTCGTGGCGGGTACTGCAAGATCCGACCGTGTCCGGCCAGTGCTCGCCGAGCTGCCTTGGCTTCCGATTGGCGAGTGAATACATTACAGGGTCGCACTCATTACACACAAAGTGCTCGCAAACAAATGAACCACAATATCTTGCTCATCTCGTCGAGGAACGTAAACCATCACTTGAACTTCAGTCACCCTCGCAGCAGCTTCTGGCCGGCCATCGAACAAAGATGGTCACCGCATCGCTCGCGCTTTCAGACGCGCTTCCCCAGCCGTCTGAAACGCTCTTCCTTCCGATTTTCGGAGCTACGCACTTTTAAATCTGTGATTGAAAACTCATTTCTTTGGACTGCTTTTTTGTGTTTCGTTTGTTGTCCTTTCGCCGCACCTCCGTATGGTGCCAACAGAAGTTCAACATACAGGCATACAATAACGATGGCGTGGCAGCCAAATGGAGGGAATATGTCCTGGAAGGCTGACGAGGGAGAGCAATGGAATTGGTTTGTTAGCAGGTGCCAGGGGGATCATTGCATTGCAGGACTTTGAGAGATGGTGATGACTTGGAGATACCTTAATCTAGCAGTAAATTGTATGCTTGGTTCTTTCGGTAAAGGCACGTTAAAGGGAAACAATAAAATATATATAAAAAATATTGTTTTATAATTTTTTATTATTTTATTGTTTCCCTTCAACGTGACTTTACCGAAAGAACCAAGAATGTGAATCACTGCAGTCGCGAAAGCTTTAAATCAAAATTTAGCAGTAAATTGTTCATGGCTGATGAAGGTGATAGTGACGATGATTACCACGGGAATCGACAACACAGTTATCAAAATGTTGAAATGAATCAATAACGAACGATTGAGTGCCCTTTATTAATTGTAGATGCTGAAAGATCAAGATTTGAATGAGAACCTGCAGACCGGCAGTGCTTTCAGGAGGAGTGAAAACATTGACAACGCCTTGAGGCGGATTGTGGAAAGGGCACTTGCATCGCTGAACTCAGTGGCAGAAGGTGAGACGAGCCGGCTCGGCGCACAGGCACGGCCATTATGAACCTTCTAAGATTCATCCGGTCCCAGTGTGACAACACAGGACCTCATAAGTACAGCCCCCAGGACTCTGACATGACCATTATGAATCTTCTAAGATTCATCCGGTCCCAGTGCTACAACACAGGACCTCATAAGTACAGCCCCCAGGACTCTGACATGGCCATTATGAACCTTATAAGATTCATCCGGTCCCAGTGCTACAACACAGGACCTCATAAGTACAGCCCCCAGGACTCTGACATGGCCATTATGAACCTTCTAAGATTCATCCGGTCCCAGTGCTACAACACAGGACCTCATAAGTACAGCCCCCAGGACTCTGACATGGCCATTATGAACCTTCTAAGATTCATCCGGTCCCAGTGCTACAACACAGGACCTCATAAGTACAGCCCCCAGGACTCTGACATGGCCATTATGAACCTTCTAAGATTCATCCGGTCCCAGTGCTACAACACAGAACCTCATAAGTACAGCCCCCAGGACTCTGACATGGCCATTATGAACCTTCCAAGATTCATCCGGTCCCAGTGCTTCAACACAGGGCCTCAGAGGTACAGCACCTAGGACTCTGACACGACCAGAACCTCAGAGTTACAGCCCCCCAGGACTCTGACACGACCAGAACCTCAGAGGTACAGCACCTACGACTCTGACACGACCAGAACCTCAGAGGTACAGCACCGAGGACTCTGACACGACCAGAACCTCAGAGGTACAGCCACCAGGACTCTGACACGACGATGATGAACCTCATAAGATGCATCCGGTCTCAGTGCTACAACACAGAACCTCAGAGGTACAGCACACAGGATTCGTGGCCAATATGAACCTCATGAGAGATATTATATGGTTCTTTCGGTACTACATCATGGGACCTTCTCTGCCAGTACCAAAATATGATAATCGGTTTTTCCCCTATTTTTTCTGGCAACGAAACAGCTGTGTTAAGATGTTAAAACACCAATCTGAAAACCTCCACAAGGAATCATGTCACTGCATTGACCACAATGCTTGTGGTCAGAATGCAAACAAAAAAACATTCTCTGATAACATATGCATTGTCCTTGTGGACCAATCAGTTTCAGATAAGGCCCACTGAGCTATATAGCTCCTTTTTTTAAAGTGACCTGGCCTAACGAAGTGGCTCAGCAGGTATACATTGATAGCAGCCCAATACTCTAAACGCGTGTTTCTAAATGCGGAGGAAAACACTGGAGGATTCGGAGAAAAATCCACGAGACTAAAGGGAGAACATGCAAACTCCAAATAGACAGGCGTGAGGGTTGGGATCAAACCCACGACCTCTTGCATACCAGGCAAAGGAAGTAAACATCTCGCCACGGCGCCCCAGGAGTAATTGTCTCAGTGCCCGGACCATTATCAATCCTCTGAGTAAGAGTCCCAGTCCCAGTGCATGAAGCCAGGTTTTTCTCCCCGTTTGCGGTTCACCTTGCCTACAGACAGGACCATTTCGACTCCACCCTCATCGACCAGCGACGTTACTCCTGCACTGATCCCGATGGTCCCCCAGACATCTCTCACCGTGCAGGACCTCGTCAAAATAGGAGCCTTCACCGACATCCACAGAGGTCAGTAGAAGGTTCACCCCCCTGCCCTTGTAGTCTGGAGGTCTCTCCCCAGCAATTCATGCTTTGGACTTAACATCCATGCGTGGATTTTTAATAGGGCTTTTTTTCGCCTGTTTTTCTGGCAACAAAATTGAAACCTTTTACAAGGACTCGTGTGTGCATTAAGCACAACACTTGTGGTCAAAATGCAAACAAAGAGGGTAAAACCCTATTATTTTTATTATATTTTGGTACTGGAAAAGGAGGTCCAATGATGTAGATGCTCACCCCGAGCCCTCATTGTCTTTGAGCTGTACGCCTTTTGGCGTTCTCTGGTCTAGCACCAATTGAGACGAGGCTCAATAGAAAGCCATCTCTGGTGTGGACCAATCAGTTTCAAGGACAATGCAAATATTATCAGTGTGTTTTTTTGTTTGCATTTTGACCACAAGTATTGTGGTTAATGCACACATGATTCCGTGTAAAAGGTTTCAGTTTTGTTGCCAGAAAAAAGGGGAAAAACCCTATTATTATATTTTGGTACTGGCAAAGGAAGTGTAATGAAATGATTGATGTGATCACTTATCAACTGACACGTTCATCCATCCATCCACTTACTGACTCATTCACCCACTCTGTCTGGTCGAACCCCACCCCCGCAGGACTGTACGAAAACCGCCAAGTGGCCATCAAGATTCGCAAAGACGGTATCACCAACGAGCAGCTGCTTGAGGAGGGGCGAATGATGGGCGCCTTGCGGCACGACCGGCTGCTTGCCCTGCTTGCCATGGTCTCCGAGTCTCCTGCCACCCTCATCATGGAGTTCATGAGCAACGGTGAATGAGCAGAGCTGAAAAACGTGGTAGGGGTGGGGGGGATCTCAGTGAGAGACTGCAATCAAATGCACATAAAGACACAGATCTCCCACAAAGCCTTTTCTGGCTGTTGCATTTCTCTCCCCTCTGCTGATATTTAAATACCGCACCAACCTAGGAGAGGCACTGGACTGCTTTGGATCTTCGCCACTGGTGTTAGACGTAAGCGGGATTCGAACTCGCTGGGTTTCCTAGCTCGGTGCACGAACGACTATGCTACCGGTAATTGGAGCAGTGCAGTGCGCTACCGCTGCCCTAATAAAAAAAAAAGATCCCCCTGTATAGCTTTTTACCAGACTGTAGGGGTAAGTGATGTTAGCGAGCACCTATGAAGGCCCCCAACATACAAACACACACACAAACTACATTCCCACGACCAAACTGAGAAAATGGTATCGGCCTTTGATTCTGAGCAAAGTTAGCACCGACCGGACTGTGTGGTTCGCTGGTAGTGGGCTGTGTGGTGTACTTTGCGAAGGGAGCTGTATGCTTGTTTGCATGCCCGACAAATGAATTGTGACATCGTGGGGGTCAAAGTCAAAATGAGATGCGCATTGTGAGTGGCATCTCGCTCAGCTTGACACGAGGGCCATGCTTTTTCTTAAAAGTGGAATTTCGGTGGCATATTGCTGTCGCCCCCACTGATGTCCTCTTTACCCCCCTCCCCCCAATGTGTGCAGATACTACTTTATTTTATGTAGGGTGTGTGGGGGGGGGTCCACTTTCTATAACTTTTTGATTCAGGCCTTTTGAAAGGCTCTTATAATTTAGTTGACAGACAAACGGAACGCCGAGCTTTAATAATAAATTGCACCACGGAAATTTTACAAAAAATGATCAATTTGACTTGGGATATTCCACACTACCCTGCTACCCCTAGGCATTGATTCATTGTTGTCGAGAATTGGAGGTGGTTAGGTGGTGCATCGAGGCAAAAAAACTAGTCAAGCCCTGTCACTGTGCTCCAGTGATTTTACAGAGCCGACGTATTCAAATTTATGGAAGTGATCTAGCAGTGACATCACTGGACAGCTATCTTGCTCTTAATCTTATACTTAAAGTCTTGATTCTCATAAATGAAGTATCAAACTCGTGCTGGAAAGCCCAGGACACATGGTTTGTAATCTTGGTTTCAATCCCTTATTTTAAACCGGGTTCTCAAGTGTTAGCGAGTTGATGGTCTCAGCCCGGTTGCCAATGTCTGTACAAAAAAAAAATATCCTCAAATCATCACGTTTAATTTAGTTTAGGGATTTTTCTGGAGGGTGGAATTACCAGTTGTGAGATTTACATTTTAGTTTTAACTTGCAAAGTGGCAAACATTGTTTCTGTATTCTTAGTTCTTTCGGTAAAGTCACGTTGAAGGGAAACAATAAAATAATAAAATATATATAAAACAATAAAAATTCTCATGACGTTTCGACCATAACACAAACGGTCGTCATCAGGTGATGACGACCGTTTGTGTTATGATGACGACCGTTTGTGTTATGGTCGAAACGTCATGAGAATTTTTATTGTTTTATATATATTTTATTATTTTATTGTTTCCCTTCAACGTGACTTTACCGAAAGAACTAAGAATATGAATTACTGCAGTCACGAAAGATTTAAATCAAAATTGTTTCTGTAGTAAGGCGTTTTGTTGAAATGTGCAGTAACTCGCACGTGTAGATAATAGGTCACTTGAAGGGATTTCAGAAGTACAGTAAAACCTTGGATTGCGAGCATGATTCGTTCCGGAAACGTGTTTGTAATCCAAAGCACTCGTATATCAAAGCACTCGTATATCAGTTGTGATCACGTGACGCTCGGCAGACAAAGCGTATACGGTACTACTCGTATTGCAAGACCTCGCTCGTTTATCAAATTAATATTTATTGAAAAATTTTGCTCGTCTTGCAAAACACTCGCAGACCAAGTTACTCGCAATCCAAGGTTTTACTGTAGTTCTATAACATCTCCGTCCACGGGTTGTTCTCTATATACACACAGCGTAAGCCACATCCAAATGGATGCTTAACCTCACGACGTGACGCTAAAAGCACAGTCGAGGCACATGATGGTTCATCACTGCTGGCTATGAATATTTAAAAAGTTTTTTTTTTACCTACGTGACTTTACCAAAAAAAACCAAAGCGTATGGATCTTTGCAGTCACGAAAAGTAAATAAAAATTATACTGCTTGGTTCTTTCGGTAAAGTCACGTAGGTATAAAATAAAATAAATCACGACATTCCCACCTGATGATTGGATGCTTGTGTTGCGCCTGAAAAGTCGTGATTAATTTTTTTTTACCTACGTGGCTTTACCGAAAAAAACCAAAGAGTATGAATCTTTGCAGTCACGAAAACTTCAAATCTAGAATTTTAAAAGTTACCATTTTTATCTCTCTTGACGGCAATACCGATAGTGCTATTGATGTGTAGTTGGTGCAACGGGAAGGGTTCATAATTAGTTGATCAGCATGTGCTCATGTCACGTGCTTTGTGTATCCATGTATTTATTCATGTCTTTCTGTTCTCACGTCTTATTCTGTGTATTCGCATTTCTGTCTTCATATACATACACGTGTTCATTTCTCTGTGACTTTAATTTTTCTCCGTACTGTATTGATGTCTCTGTGCGCCCATGTCCCTCAATCTCCCTGTGTACTCATCTCCCTGTGTACTCATCTCCCCGTGTACTCATCTCCCTGTGTACTCATCTCCCTGTGTACTCATCTCCCTACATGCAACAGGAAATCTTCTGGCCTTCCTCGAGAAGAAATCTTCCTCCAACCGTGACCGTTACTACCTCAAAATGGCTGCCGAGGTACCCTTCGTTTTTTGTTTGTTACGGCCGAGTGGACGTAGTGGCAGGACAGGTGCGATGGCCCACGCAGCACGAGACGACACTCACATCCATAGTCGGTGGTCTCAAGCCATTGGTGGAAATTCCATATTCCCATGACGGGATACAGTGGCATTGGCGCACGTCCCCCACGTGGTAGACGTTGGGAAGCCCTCCTCAAATAACACAGAGGGGTTTTATCAGATGATACGTAAGAAGAAATGTGCGCATGTATGTATGTATGTTGAACTTATTTCGCACCGCACGTAGCCAACCGTGCTAATTGGAGGTGCGGGGGAAGGACAACGAACTAAACACAAAAAGCAGTTCTAATAAAATCAGTTTTCCATCTAGATTTAAAAGTGCATAGCTCCAATGGCTTCCTAACATCGGAAGGAAGAGTCTTCCAGGTGGCCGCAGAAAAGCATCTGAATGCGCGCGATGGAGTGACCGTCTTTGTTTGATGGTTGCGTGATGGTTTATGCTCCTTGGTGAGATCAGCGAGGTGTTGCGGTTCATTTGTGGCAAGCACTTGGTGTGCCATGAGTGCGACCTCAATCTATTCTTCAGCACCCGGAATTCCATGCAGCTTCGGCAAGCACTAGAGGGACATGGTTGTGAATCGACTGTACGTAGGAGAAGGGAAACTCTGATATCACATTGGAGCGGGCAAATCTCGCACAATCTTTTTGCAGGCAATGTCTTGTCTGGAAGTGAATCTACAATTACCAATCTGATGCCTCGCTGCCATATCCTGACCACCTCGTATCCCAGCCCTTCAACGCCTCGTGTTCCCAGGAGAATCCCAACCACCGGGCGTTAACCAGGCTCAGCTCTGCTGACGAGATCGAGCATGTTCACGGTGATTTGGTGGCGGCGGTGGTAGTTGGTGAAGTGATTTTTTTTTTTATGCCCTTCGAGGTGGCCGAGGGGATGCGCTTCCTGGAGGAAGAGGGCTGCGTGCACCTTGATCTTCGTGCGGCCAACATTCTTCTCGACGACGGCTTCGGCTGCAAGATCGCGGGATTCCAGCTCGTCCGCAAGCTCGCGGGCGAGGTGTATCAAATCAGTGAAGGTGACGACTCAGTCCTTGTGATCGTCATCATCATCATCATCGGTAGCAGCATTGTGTCGTTGCTCTGTAGACCAGGAGATTGATGATCGGTTGTCGCGTTGCCATTATTACCAAAATTCCCACCGTTACCGGCACTACAATCAGCATCAGCGGCACGATCATTTGTATCTTCACAAAATCCACCGCCGCCATCATCATCGTCACCATCAGCAGCAGCAGCAGCTGCATTAAAGGTGAATGAGTCTTTTGTTATTCACGATCGCAATTTGATTCAAGAATTGTCAAAACTGTGGGGGACGTAGCAGATTCTAGTGGCTGCAGGGGTCACGTGGCACGATTTCATACGACAAACGAATTGGAAGAATATACACAGAAAGAACCAACGAGTAATTCCTGAAGTCACGAAAGCTCCAAATCAAGTTTGGAAAAATATAGCTTTTTACACGTGCGATGTGTTAATCTTTAGATGAAATAATCGATAGTAATTGACTAATATATGCGTCTTTACACCTATTATGAATCACCAGCGTCATCATCATCATCAGCAGCAGTAGCAAGCAGGATCACTGGCATCGTCTCAAACATCGCCACCACGATCATCATCATTGGTCTCTGTGTGCAAGAACTTAGCATGTAACGAAGCATCACGGTCCTTCAGTTACTTCCTGTAGTTACTTTCCATTCATCATCATCATCAGCCATGGTCAATCCACTGCTGGGTGAAGACCTGCCCAAGCCATCACTACCCTCTCTCAAATCCGCGATGAACAGTATCCCCTTGTTTTTCGCGAGGGGATACGTTCCACAGATGCCCGCGAATAGCAATAAAAACATAAACAAGCTATTAAACACATGAACAGTATCTAAAGAACACAATAACATTAAAAACGTAAAGTAAATAAGAATTATACTCTTTGGTTCTTATAAATCACGACTTTCCCACCTGATGATGGATGCTTGTGTTGTGCCTGAAACGTCGTGATCAATTTTATTTTATATCTACGTGACTTTACCGAAAGAACCAAAAAGGATGGATTTCTGTAGTCACGAAAGCTTCAAATCAAGATTAAATAAAAATATATATTATTAAAGTGTTAATAATACTTTCAAAATGAACTCACTTTAAATTATGATGTTGCATCACATTCTCTCTCATCACTTTATCTCTTATCACTTTATCTCTCATCACATTATCTCTCATCACTTTATCTCTCATCGCTTTATTTCTCATCACTTTATCTCTCATCACTTTATCTCTCATCACTTTATCTCTCATCACTTTATCTCTCATCGCTTTATCTCTCATCACTTTATCTCTCATCACTTTATCTCTCATCACTTTATCTCTCATCACTTTATCTCTCATCACATTATCTCTCATCACTTTATTTCACCACTTTCTTTCTCTCTCTCGATATAATCGTGTAGAGTTCCAGATGCGATTCGTGGGTAGCCAAAAATCGCGGAATAGTAAGTCGGTGAATAACTATGGAATAATATAATCCGCCTAGAACTTGCGCAAAAGCTGTTCCATCGCTCCATCTGCACACGGTAGAGGCCCTCTCAGGCGCGTACCCTCATTTGGTTGCCAGAGTCGGTGTACGAGGAGGGATATCATCCAAAGATCTATGCGGTTGGATTGCAAATCTACACGCTGCACTGCCTTACCTGTGGGTGTGCAGGAGATATGCTGCCCGCACGCTGGTGTGCCGTCGAGGCGTTCACTACCAAAGTCTGGACGTCCAAGTGTGACTCCTGGTCTTTCGGGGTGCTGCTCTTCGAGATTTACACGGACGGCACCCTCCCTTACAAAGGTTCAAATGGCCCGCACCAATTCACGGCACCCCACAGTCATTTGAATAATCGCCGCCTTTTAGAAGAATGATTTCCTGCTGCAATTAATGACGTCATCTGAAAATTTCATCGCATCATTTGCCGTTTCACGTTTTTGTTTTTTTACGCCTCATCTCTACTCTGTTACTTACTCCGTCATGTTGAAGGTACGATTAGCGTATAACGTGCATAATTATTGACGTATACGTAATGAATATATCACGAGCGTACAAATCGATTTCGCTACTTGCCTAACTGTTTGTTTGGCTAACCGTGCGGTGTTGTTGTCCTGCCCCCAGACCTCCGATGAGCACGGTTGACTGTGTATGGTGCCCACCTCTTGACCGCGATCTTTTTTTTAATAACCGTGCTATCCGACGGGTGTAAAACTGTGACGGCGTCTGCTCCGTGTCCTCCATTGTTTACCCCTCCCCCACCTGACCTGCCCCCCCCCCGCCCCCCCCCCCGACCCCACCACCCCTGTAGGGAAGACGCACAGGGAGGTGGTTGAGCTGCTGAAGCAGGGAATCCGCCTACCCCGTCCAAGCGTCTGCCCTGATGCCGTGCACCGCGTCATGTCCTCCTGCTGGCATGAGGACCCACTGACGCGTCCCAACTTTGGCGAGATGTACACCTCCCTGAGCTCACTCATCCGAGCCTAAGCTCCACTTTCGGGTTGACACCCTTTTCACTGTAATCCAAGCCTGGTACAGAGGATGTCGTGTGTTTAATCCCGACCCTGATGGCCGTATATTTGAAGTTTGCATGTTCTCTCTCGCTCCCCGCACTCGCGTTAATTTTTCTCTGGGTCCTCCGGTTTTTCCCTCCGCATTTAAAACCACGCGTTTAGAGTACTTACCTGCTTCAAGACCGAGAGCAAGCGAGGGCTTTACCATTCTGGCGAATTACCCGATGATGCTGGATGAAATTACCAGCGAAACGTCGTACTCAAACTGTAAATGTTGTGGATTCACTCTTCAACACACCGGTGGGCTAAAGTAGCGAAATATTTGTCTTTTGTCAACGTGACACTTTTTTTTGCTGATTGGCCGTGTCGGGTGGTGGAGGGTTACGACACATTCATAAATAACGTGATCTAACCCAAAAACTTTTATTATGAATAATATTGGTCGCGAAAGCATATTTGTTAAACTACTTACCTGCTATGAATTTCCACGCAATAAGCCACTTCGTTGAACCGTCAAATGTGGCCAGGTTACTTCTGGGAAAAAAATAGCTTTATAGCTCAGTGGGCCCTACCTGATCAAAATAAATAAAAAAATTAGTTTTTAATAGATGTTGGGTTTCATTCCGGGTTTCAGCCGCTTATGATTAAATCAGGGTCTCAAGTCCTCTTCTTGCATTCGTCATCAGAGGTCAATATCCAAATTGCTTGACTGCTTTATTTTTGTACAGGAGCGAGTTTAAGTGATTTCTCTGAGCATGCATGTTGAAATAGCAGATACGTTAAGGTGGCGTACATGGTTAACAAGGGATAGAATAAGTGGTGCGTTTTCAAAACAACGTTACTGATGCAGGTGCATGCTACCGCAGAAGGAGGGGGCATTCTCCGTGGATAATTTAGATTTCATCACGTTACTTAAGTCGGGTGATTGTGGAGTGCTCCTCCTCTTCGAATTATAAGCTGTGTAATCTTTCCTAGACTGGCATCCTTGCTCGCAAGCTTCACAAATCATAATTGAAAAATGAATTGAGAGGGACAGATTCACGTTGATTATAATGCACAACAAATAAATCGTACTGCAGCTGCAGTGTCCACACTAGTCCTTTGTGTAGACACATTAACGAATTAGCTGTCGGACATCACATTCATTATTTTTTATGTTAATATAACTAAACCATATATTTAGTTATATTATGCAACTTGCATCCCGATTAGCTATAAAGTGGATGACGTTGGAATATATATTCGGCGTTGATCCATAGTCTGCTCCGAACTCATAGTTGTATAGTTGTTCGTAAAGTGAGGAATGATTCGAGAGTTGAAAGTTCGTGTTAAGCCCGATGTGTGAGTGACTTTAATAGTGTGCTTCAAGAGATATGTTGCCTTGTGAAATGAGATACGCAACCACGGGGAGAACATGAAGGCGTTTACTTTGAAGAACATTTCCAGATGAGGGGTTTTAAATTGCAATATGGCAAATTGGAATATGCCAATTTAACACTGCATAAAATATTTAATTTACTATGGATGCATGGTGAATCGTTCAGTCTCCAACTATTACTCACTGCTTTGGAGGGCCTTTGTCTTTTAAAACATTTCTTATTATACATATTTTCGTCTTCGGACCATGTTACTGCAAAATGTGATTATTTTTTTTCCTTGTGCAACACTGCTGATGCAGTATCGCGTAAGAAAGTTTCATTTCATTTATTAAGAAAGGTTTCTCATCCAGATCTGGCAGAATGGTGGTGAACAGTGGAATGAGAACCTGTAAAATAAACACCTAATTCGCAACCCAATCATCGCACATCCTGGCTTTGACATTTCTCTAAGACACCTGGTGGCGTAACCATCAATCGCACCAGAATCGCATCAACAGGCAGATGCACACATCTCCTTCAACACATTCCTGCGGAGGGAGCTGGTAGGAACGTTGGTCTGCTCGGTCAATGGCCAGGTTCAACGGCGGCACCACGTGGTGTATTCCGCAAATATGCCCGGCTGTGAGGGCGGGCACAAGCCGGCGTGAGTAGGTTAAATGTTGAGTTTTATAAGGGCACCACGGGGTGACCAGCCCCACCCTCCCCACCCAGCCCCTCCCCACCCTCCCCACCCAGCCCCTCCCCCACCCTCCCCTTTCCACCCAGCCCCACCCCTCCCATTTTTGGATGCACGACGGATGGACACAATAATCCCTTGTGGGCTGGTGTAACCAGGAGGTTCCTACCCATGTAGTGGAGTAGGAAGGTGCGTGGTGGAGGGGGCGTGATTACATGATCACACAGACAGTACGGGTTATCTTGGGTCAGCCTGTAGTGAAGGCGAATACAGTGCAGGTTATGTTAGGGCAATTAAGCTGGGAAAGCCCTGGACGGCTGTGATTGGTTGGAGCTGTTGCCAAGGCTAGAGCGGCGCCTAAAGGTCTGGAGGAGAAACAGGTGTACGGTCACGCGGAGTGCCGTTGGGACGCGGACTAATTAATTGGGGGCGTAATGAGAGCGGGGATAAATTGGGGGGTCGGCAATTGGAGAGGGAGAGTTGGAGCTTGGAGAGCTTGGAGAAGGTTGTTGAAGTTGAGGAGTTGGAGTTAAGAGTTGAAGGGTGAAGTCGCTGTGTGCGAAGACGCTGTGTGCGAAGACGCTGTGTGCGAAGACGCTGTGTGCGAAGAAGAGAATAGCCAGCAGTGGAGAGAGCATAGAGAATAGCCAGCAGTGGAGAGAGCGTAGTGATGGTGATAGCGGTGAACAGAGACGAAGCACTTAGCAGTGGAGAGTGCATAGTGACGGTGATAGCGGTGAACAGAGACGAAGCACTTAGCAGTGGAGAGTGCATAGTGACGGTGATAGCGGTGAACAGAGACGAAGCACTTAGCAGTGGAGAGAGCATAGTGACGGTGATAGCGGTGAACAGAGACGAAGAAGTTAGCGGCGGAGTAAGCGAAGTAATCGTGGGGGAGTGGAGAGACAAAGGTGGCGAGCGAGTCGAGTGAAGCACGGTGAGCGAGCCGTGGCGACCAGGATACTGTGGAATGTGGAGGACATGCTGAGAGTTGTAAATAAAGCGGTGTTCGAAGAAAGACAGAAGTTATCCGAGTGAAATCGAACACTACACCAGTATAAATGGAAATGAAAGACAAGACACAGTCGTATGAATGCAGAAATCCAACCCAAACTATACATCACGTGATAATCAACTGTATTATGTGCTCCTTCCATGGAGAGGAATAGCAAAACTACAACAAACTCTCTGCTGAAGCCCTCATGTTAAGTTAGCAGACCACGTCATTGACATCTAGCACCTTAACATAATGCCATACGCAATAAGAACCTGTACCTTTCATTAAAAAAGAAGAAACGTTCTCGATTTTTCATCCTGACAATCCAGTGTTAAAATGAGAGTGCCTGGAGAAACCCATTAATGCCTGCAAAGGACTAACACCCAAAACTCTGCGTAGATACATCAGCCTGCCTGATGCCCTGCATTCGACAGATAACAATTTAATGAAGTAGAATGCAGCTGAGGATCGTGAGAGAGACCAAACCCTTGGCGAGGACTTTGTCCAACATGGCTGATGCTGCTGCTCTTTCGTATGGCTGATGTAGATGACAGAGCAACAACTACAATTTCACATTCAGGTGGTCAAGTGCAGATAACCACGTCAGGAGTTCGTGGAGATGGCATTGCATCTTTAAATGTTGTATGGTCTGTTTTAATGACCACAGTCGCACACTAGATAGTTTTAAATTTGTGCATCAGGTATCCGCATCTGCCATAGTTTGTGATGATACGGTTTAGGGTAGATCGTGAGCTTCGGAGAAGATCAAACCCAGAGATATTTGGCGTTTAGTCTTTAACAAGGTGTTCGTTTATGAGATATTTTTAACTCCATTCAGCTCTCCAAGCTTCATCGGGGTTGAACTCGCATTGCTGAAGGTTAAGCGCATGGGTCCAAAATAGCTTTCGTGACTTCAAGCGACGTTTATTGATTTCCTGACGAATGGGAAGGCGACTGTAATCCCTCGATTTGCAGGACTTCCCGGAGGGTTTGCAGCATCGTGGCGGGTGGGTGGGGGAGATATTTGTGACAGCGCAGTCAGCCCAGGGTGTTGGGGGTCGACTTGAGGCTCCCAGTGATACACTACATTGATGTGTTCAGTTGGACATCAACAAGTCGATTGTGACTACTTCTCGTCTATGCTGGTGCACAGTATTACGTGAAGCTGGACCATATGGTTAGCTTATGGTCCAGCTTCACTCTGAGATTCCGTTGCAATGGGGTCGTGTCGCACGGTGTTCCCGAAGAAAGTCACTTTCAGAGTGTGCTGCGCGCTTCTGTTATCAAGATGGCATAGTGACTAATTACTTTACCGAAAGAACCAAGAATATGAATTCCTGCAGGAACGAAAGTTTTAAGTCAAAATGTAGTGACCAGTTTTGTGGGGAATTTGGCTTGAGCCTCCATATCCAGAAATATTCCCCCATGGAATATTTACTTTATGATAGTTGAGTTATTGCAGCCCCTTTGGCATCCATGTACGAGGTGCCTCTGTGGATGTGTAGGCTTTGACTTTAACATAGCTATTTCTGTGACCAGTCACAAGCTAATCCATCAACTGTTTCAATGCTAAATTCTCCTGTTTGATATGTAAACCCCTTTGTCAAGGTGCCTCACTTCTCTCAACCAGCTTAAAAGACGCACAAATATTAACAACGTTCATTGAAGCTCTGTCGTCCCGACAGGTTTGTTCCTTTCACCTGAAGAAGGCCACTTGTGTTGTGGCCGAAAGGTCGTGATAATTTTATTGTTTTATTTTATTATTTTATTCTCATTCTACGTGACTTTACCGAAAGAACCAAAGAAGATTCCCCCATGGTGTTCAGCTCTTTGTTCAGACTGGATTCGATGTTGCTAAAATTGACTGGTTGCATTGCTAGGGCAGGGTCATCCACGCATACAAATTTGTGTGACCCGGTGGGTTTTCCATGTCGCTCATGTAGACGTTGAAGTGCATTTGCGCGAGTACTGAACCTTGTGGAAATCCATTGTTGGGGATCCGAGGTGACCTGGATTTGTTGCCCATATAAAGACATGGTCGCCTATTTCTTGTCATAGTTCTC